AGTTATGGTTTAGATCTCTCTCTCTATCTCTCTCTCTCTCTCACTCACTCACTCACTCACTCTTTCTTTCTTTCTCTCTCTCTCTCTCTCTCTCTCACTCACTAACTCGGGAACTGCCGGCGCTCTCACTATCTGAATGTCTTACTGTTAGTTTCAATGTCAATGCCAATGCCGGCGCCAACCCTATCACTGATAAACTGTAAATCATTTGACAGACAATTACCACTTGTTTTAAAATCTATTGATTAATGAATTATTTTTTTAAAAAGTATTTGTTTTTCTAATGTTTGTCTCATTATAGACGGAACGGGAGCTATGGTAGGGTCGGCCATAATCGGCGGTGTATTACTGGCGCTCATCGAAGGCATGGGTATACTATTCACGCGATACTCGTCGGAACAGTTCAGACCCATTCACCCGTTAGAAGATCCGACACAATTAGGACAATCGCCCGGTGCCGGCGGACCTACCCCTCCCTTTCCAGGTGCTGCCACTCAATACCAATAGGCTTACGATTAATTTATACATAAGTTTTCTGTTTTTAACTTTCAATTTAAACACAAAATTACATAAAATATTAGTTATTTTTGACATTAAAGTAGAGTTTTATTAAATAAAATAAATATAAAGTAATTTACATTATTATATTTGACTTAAAAATTGTAATTTTTCATAACAAATGCAAACATTTGTTTTAAAAGTTTGTTATATTTATTGGCGATTCATATGATTTTTGTAGGCACTGAATAAAATGTATGTAAATATCGTATTTTGAATTAATTATCGAAATATGTTTTTCCAACTCATGAATGAATGGTCTGTTTGTTATTCTTCAGCAGCCAATCGTACGCCAACTGATGGAACTCACGATTGACTCGAATGCCTGCCTTATGTTGTTGTTGCCATCCCTGTCCATCCCTATCCCACGTAACCATTGTCTATCACATGTATAATTCGTGTTTTAATTTCGCAATTGTTTTGTAATTAATTAATTCATTGTGTGGTCGCATATGGTTCGCATGAAAGTCGTTATAACCTGTGATTAAAAACTGCGTTTTTCAAAATATAACCCGGATTTTGGATACAATTTATGAGACTATAAGCAATTTTGTAATTATTTCGCAATTCGGTTGTAAAACTAAGACTATTGAAAAATTTTGCACATGAGATAAATTGTTAAAACCTATTATTTACCGGTATTTATAAATTAAATAATTTTAAAATATTCACGGCATTAAATGGAGTATATCATGATACAAATTAATTTGAGTTAATATTTGTCTAATTACTGTCCACTATGACCCTACAAGCTATACGAAACATGGGGTTAATGCAAATAAATCTATTGTACGGTAAACACAATATTATACTGTATGTGAAATATGTTTGTAATTTTGTTACATTACATATTTTAGTAGAGAATATTCTATACGTAAGCATACTGTACAGTACAATGAAACTAAACTCGGCGTAACTTATATTTGATTTATGAATTTGTATTTTTCAATGATTTGGACAAGTTTATAATTTAATAATTATGATCCTGGTGCAAATCGTGAGTTTAAAACACGAGGGTCTGTGTGTACTAAATCATAGATCAGCTTAATGCCTCAAGTAACAAAGTTATTAATACCTATCAATCTAATTAGATCCGGGTTGTGGATTTCGATAATAGTAATTAATTATATAAATTCTATTACTTATAGCCAAGTACAAATTGTGTAATAATCATGTGAATTGCGAATAAATTTTAGAGATGAAACAATTAATCACAATTTTTTAAAACGCTTTTGTTAGCTATATATAAATTGTGATTTATGACAGAAAAGTACTGAGAGTTAAATCTAAAACAATATATAATATCGTTTTGTCATTAATATCTAATCGAAAAGTCTGGACAAGTGTTTTGCGGATAATGTGAAATGATCCTGACGTCAATCCAACACAAAAGTAATTTACTTTCAATAAGTTTTGACGTTTTTAGTATCACCAAAAAACAAATTGCACGCCATATTAGTACACTAAAAATGAACTTAGTTTAAATCATTATTTATTGATAATTATTTTAAGACAAATCATCTGAATTCATGGGATATACAGTAAATATAAACATTGAAAATTGGGACATATATTATATCATTATATCAGTAAAATTACAGAATATTCTGAGATATATAGAGGGGTAGCGTAAATTGAAATGTCTAAATGTCCCAGAATATTCTGTAATTCTACTGATATAACATAACATCAATTGAAATTTATGTTTATTTTTTATTTAATAAATCTTCAAAACGTATTATTGGGTACAAAAGTGCACAAAAGTATTCATTGAAAAACATTTTCAATAGCATTTGTATGTTTTAAATATAAATAATTCATATTTTTCTAGTATAAAAACATTATTAAAAATTACAGATATTTTTAGTCAATTTAAAATTAATTGTTCAGAAGTCCAGAATCATAAATCATATTTTTGAATTAAACATTTATAATTAATCACCAAGATTGTAAATTAATTGTTATACAATAACACTTATACCATATATAAAGGGCTGTGTTTTATGTAATTCAGTATTAATTGAAAACTTTGTATTAACTTTTCCAAGAAAAAAGTTGTACAAAGGTTTTGAAATAATTGTAAAAGCGTACACAAAATGCTTAAACTTTTAATTATCGCAGGGCTGGTAGCCCTGACGATTGGTAAAGTGATCGACATTAATAAGTCCGGGATCAATGTAAACTTAGGAAACATTGGAGTAAAAGTTGGTTTAAATGGAAACCAAGACAAAGATAATGCCATTCAATGCAATGGGAACAATACAGTCGGTGTTGTAGTGAACGGCACCGCAAATACCGACAGTAAAGACTCGGGTAAGGGATGGCTCGACAAGACCTGGAGTTGGATCAGTGGGTCGGGTGGTAATGGAGGCGACACTGGCCTTAAAGTAAACGAAAATACTGGTTATTTGAATGTCTCTGTAAATGGAAGTATTGGTGTTAATGGCGGCAAAGGTCTGAATATTAGTGACATCTTTGGTGAAAATGGCATTCATTTCGGAAATGGAGGTCTGAACTTAAGCCAAATTCTCGGTGGAAATGGTATTCATTTCGGACAGGAAGGAAATGGAGGTCTGAACTTAAGCCAACTTCTCGGTGGACACGGAGGCATTGGAGGTCTGAACCTAAGCCACATTCTCGGTGGAAATGGTATCAACTTCGGAAACGGAGGAAATGGTGGTCTGAACCTTAGCCAGATTCTCGGTGGAAATGGTATCAACTTCGGAAACGGAGGAAATGGTGGTCTGAACCTTAGCCAGATTCTCGGTGGACACGGAGGTATTGGAGGTCTGAACCTGAGCCACATTCTCGGTGGGAATGGTATCCACTTCGGAAACGGAGGACATGGAGGTCTGAACCTTAGCACCATTCTTGGTGGACACGGAGGACATGGTGGTCTGAACCTTAGCACCATTCTCGGAGGAAATGGTATCCACTTCGGACAGGAAGGAAATGGAGGTCTGAACTTAAGCCAAATTCTCGGTGGACACGGAGGACATGGTGGTCTGAACCTAAGCCAGATTCTTGGTGGACACGGAGGCATTGGAGGCCTGAACCTGAGCCACATTCTCGGTGGAAATGGAATCCACTTCGGAAACGGAGGACATGGTGGTCTGAACCTAAGCCAGATTCTTGGTGGACACGGAGGACATGGTGGTCTAAACCTTAGCACCATTCTTGGTGGACACGGAGGACATGGTGGTCTGAACCTTAGCACCATTCTCGGAGGAAATGGTATCCACTTCGGACAGGAAGGAAATGGAGGTCTGAACTTAAGCCAAATTCTCG